TAAGTGTGACCGAAGTGTCGTGTCGGACTTAAAGATGGTGCGAATGCCTTGTTGTTCTAGGCAGCAGCGGAGAGACTGCGAAACTCCTTGGACATAAGGCAGACGGAATTTCTTTAATTGAAGTGGACAGAAAGGAAAAAAACCTTTCCTTTTCTACTGAATAAATACTTGCATGTGAAATTTTATGCCTGGCACAGTGAAAACAAAATAATAATTTAGTGGAAGTGTGATGTGAATGTGTTTATAAAGGACAGAAATCTCACTTCAAGCCTCATCCAGCAACGGGTATAAATCCTCTGTTGCCTTGCTCAATTCTAGTAGTGATTGTAGGTCAGGATTCTTTGATTATCATGATATCAAACAGACAAATCCACATGCATACCCAGTGGGAACAGCACGATGAGAGATCCCTTGAAGAATCACCTTTGAGATCACTATTATTGATGTTTATTTGCAGTCTTTACAATTTTTCTGAAGTCGTGACTAATTCTAGGCTGTTTTTGTTCTAATGCTTTAGAAACAATTCATAAAAAATGCAAAGAACTGCTGTTCACAAGATGGCTACCATGCTGTGACATATGAGCTCCATATGTTTTCAGAGCTGCAATCTGCAAAACTTGTGACTTTCTNTCAAACAGACAAATCCACATGCATACCCAGTGGGAACAGCACGATGAGAGATCCCTTGAAGAATCACCTTCGAGATCACTATTATTGATGCTTATTTGCAGTCTTTACAATTTTTCTGAAGTCGTGACTAATTCTAGGCTGTTTTTGTTCTACTGCTTTAGAAACAATTCATAAAAAATGCAAAGAACTGCTGTTCACAAGATGGCTACCATGCTGTGACATATGAGCTCCATATGTTTTCGGAGCTGCAATCTGCAAAACTTGTGACTTTCTTGGGTAAAAAATGAGTTAGACCAATCAGAATTCCGTAGTTAAATGACTAAAGCCAAAAAAAAATTCTGTGCATTCCATGGTTGTTGGTGTTATCGCTCGTAGCGGGAGTGTTACTTAATAATAATGTATAAGAATAGAAGAGCTACCTAGCCGTTATAAAAGAATATCTTAAGACAGAAATATTCACAGAATTTTTCAATTCTTTCTGGAAAGCACGTGGGTGAAAAATATTTACTTACATGTAATAGTGAATTGTGTTTTTTTAGGCAGTGTTATTGGCAGAGGCAGAGAGCATTGGAATGTGGATTTTGGGCCCAGGACCAGAGATGTTGGACCATGGACTGTGAACCGTGGACCATGGACTGTGAACTGAGGAGCATGGAACCATGGACTAAGGAGCATGGAACCAGGACTATGGAACAAGGATGGGGGACCAGCGAGAGAGGACTTAAAACCAAGGACAGAGGGTGGGCAGGAAGCCCTGAATGATCACAAATTGGACTTGACCTGAACTACAACTATTATTTGCATGTTAAGGTAATATATTTTACCTTATTCTGACTTACTTGGGGAGCACGGATGGCACAGTGTCAAGAATGCTTGCCTCCCACCAATGTGGCCTGGGTTTAATTCTGGCCCAGTGCCATATGTGGGTTGAGTTTGGTGTTGGTTCTTGCCTTGCTCCGAGGGTTTTTCTCCGGGTAACTCGGCTTTCCTCCCTCATGAAAAACCAACATTTCCAAATTCCAATTTGACCAGGATAGAAGACCTGCATGAATTTCAGCTTCTGATTTGGCTTCCTCTTTTTTCATCATTGGCAAGTGGTTACCATGATTTCACTTAGTAGATCATTTGACACTGATTCCTATATTTGGATTATCAGCCAAATTCAACAAAATTGCGGTTAATAATGTTTTGCGTCACTTTAGACCAAAAATTCCTCTTCCTTGATTACTCATAGTAAACATTTGTTTTACAATTTAACATTAATGCTCTGTTTATTTTTCTAGTTGCATGTGCACTAAGTGCTACAGATTTCATTTCACATAGTCTCCTTGGTCGTTGTTATTTGGGTGATTAGGCAAATTGGGGAGAAATTTTTATGATGTCTGAAATAACTACTACAAGTGACACCACAGAATCTGTCTGTTTTCAAAAACTTTTTATTTTTATCATGGCAAATGGGAAGCAGTATCTAGAATTAATTTTACATCAGTCAATCAATCAGTCTATTAATCAATCAGTCTATCAGTCATTGAATACTATTTTATTAATTGTAAACCACTAAGGCACATGCAAAAATGTTCCTAAAATTGCTCATACATTTTATGCAACTAAACTAATAATTAGTAGCCACTGAGATTTTTAACTGACAGAAGTGCAATTTATTTCAAAACATTCACTTTGATGCACATGTAGCTACTAATATTTAAACAGAGTATTCATCTGGCCAATATGTATTGTGTGTGCCATTCATTTGCAAATAAGTGGCTTGCTTACAAATTCCTCATTATGGGTATCTGTAAACTATTTGGTCACATATTTTCCATCAACTGTCTATTTTGAAAGCAAA